GTTTGAAATTTTAGGTCAAATTCAACATTTTGTAACCACTAGCAAAGAATGACAGAACAGGATTTCGACTGTAAAGTCGACGGAAAGTAATACAAACTAAAAAATATTGAAATACCGTTTTCCAAGAATAACATTGGAATAAATTCCGTTTTTGCTTTAATCAAAAAGGATCACTTTTACTACTCATTACAAAGTAAGTACATTTTGTGATCAATTTGTAATCCTGTCGCTGCTGTTTAACCCACAAAAACCTCCACTTTACATGTATATGTTTCAACACCTAAATAATAATGAAGCACCTAAATAATAACCATTATCATGCCTAAAATATCTTCACAGATAAACGACTCGACGTGACCTTTATAACACCTCTTATCCGATATCTATTTATTGGGTCGTTGTGTTACAGTGATCAAATGTCTCATTCCCACTGCCGTCACTGTATAGTAATGTTCAGACGCCTTTTTGAGCGTATGTCATATAACACTCTTTACATGTAGTGCAGACATAGGGACCATTCCCACAGATATTTGGATCGATCTATCTCCCTGGGGAGTCTCTCTAAATTGCTATCAAACTGACCGGCTTAAACGTCTGTCACGTCTATTAAAACTGTTAGGGGGTAATTTTCTTTACCCCTAGCTGATTCGGTAGGCGTGACAGACATTTAAGCCTCTTGAGCTGATAGCAATTTAGCGTGAACCCCCAGGGAGTTAGGTCGATCCAGATTCTACTACGTAGTGATGTCAAAACACATGGAACAAGACGTGGTAGCTGTTCCCCTTGTGTTGACAAGATTTCATTGCAAATTTCATCAAATTTGGTCTATAACCTTTTGAGTTATGTTGATGACAGACAAACAAACAAGAGTGAAAACACAACCTCCTTGGCGGAGGTAAAAATCAAGGATACCCTTAATTTTAACCTCTACATACTATTAAACGTTAGCAATGCAAATATATCTTATTTTCTAGTTTTGATTTGGCCATACAAAAAGACATTAGGTCATCGGATGGGGGTCTAAAGAAAGATGATAAAAGGTCTGTATTTTACGACGGATACCCAGATTTGGCTCGTACAGCTGTAACAGAATGCGCGGCGTCCTCACCTATAGCTCACAGATAAAAACAGCTGACAAATCACTACATTTTTTTCGAATTAATTTCATTAATTTATTTACTTTTAAGTAAAATAAATGTAGCAGTGTCTTTTACAGTTTTCCAGAGTTCTGTGTGTACAAATTAAATTACGTTTTAAAAAACGTAATCACATGGCTTGATTCAATTCAAATTTCTTATAATGCAAGTGTGTGTATATCCTACGGCATTTTGAGAAAATTTAAGATGGCCAGCATTTTCCATTGTAATTTATGGATTTCAACGACAAATGCCAGGGCGATACAGTTTTTGCTGTGAAATGAAGTTAATTCCCGATTAGGCACTGAATAGATTCCCCGCGGGGTTAACGCAACAAGCATTCAAGTGGGTCGGCCATATTTGATCCGAGGATATGTTATACTGGGTTCCCATGCCTAGACCGATCTAACTGCATCGACCCTTCTCGCTAAACTGCTTTTAGCTTAAACGGCTTAGATATCTGGCACGCCTACTGAAGCGGTAGACGATAGTTAATTACCCTCTAACAGCTTCAGTGGGCGTGTGAGACATCTAAACCGCTTTATTTGATAGCAATTTAGCGATAATCCCCTTGGAGATGGGTCGATTCAAAGTTAGTATGATAGGCTCTGGGAATGATCTCTTAGCCTGCTGTTCAGCGCGCCCTCTTAGCTGGATGCGTGTCAGACAATTAAGCTGATCACACTGATTGCACTTTAGCGAAAATAACTGCAAAGGTGGATCCACCCAGCTGGTAGGATGAATCTGGATGCGCCTTAAGATTAGAATTAAAATACTTTGGCCTTTAACGAAATAAAAAGTCGTGTGCCCTCGTCTACAGTATTAGTGAGTATAGGCAGATTAAAACAATAACTGGCAAATCCTTATATTTTATTTACATATTTATTTATTTTATTCAACAGTTTTTTACAATATCACAGATGTTTCTATATACTATTTTAAATATCTTTTTAAACGAGTAATCACATTGCTTGACAAAATTTCAGAAATCGCATAAAAATAAAGTAAAAAGAAAAAAGACAATTGTGTAAATATATAAAAAGATTCATGTTTTCATTCAAAATGTTAATCATTTGTGTTATTGAAGATTCTAAGAAAAGAAGAAGGGTAGACTAAACACAAAACATCTTCACGTTATTAGGAGCTCATTACGATTGTCGACGCTTTCATTTGATATCATTTTCAACAATTTTCCACAGTTCTCTATGTACAGTCAGAATTGCTTCGTTCAAACACCTTTATATTTAACCTTATTTATTTCCCACATCACAATGTATAAAGAATGAGTGGATAAGAACAATGGTGGAAATGTCGAACTGGCTCGTATTGTTTTAACATTTGTAAGTTTTGTGTAATTCACGACATTCAATTCTTCAAAGTAGTAAGGTGATCACAAAGTATCCTACATTTCAGTTTAAAGTCCATGGTGTCTCATTAGAATTCATCATTTCTTTATAATCCTTGGGTTAATGGAAAATTAAATTTATTTCAACAAAATGATAATTATAATTATAATAATAAGCACGCAAGCAGAGTAGGGAACTCAAAAACTGAAAGAATGACAGAAAAGCTATTAAGAAAATATTGATAATAAATATCATACTACATGCATTATTGCAATGTTTGTAATCGATATTGATAAAATACTGATTATAAACAATATACCCAGTATGATGTAGGTAGCTTTCTCACAAAATCTTACATGAAACTTTTTGAACAGTGGTTTGCCATTAATAAGGCATTTTACGTAAAGGAAAAGTATAGTCCTCAAGCACAGATCTTCTTCTGCGAACATAAGCCAAAGCAACTATACGTTAACAGTTAGGTTTCGTTATTGATTTCATTGACAGCTACTGCAAATACCGCGAAATACCAAATCAGGACCACGACTACCGCAACGATAGTTGTCACCATGCCAGCGATGTTTAGCCCCATGGCTATCTTCCCCTTGCTCCGGGCTCCCTCCACATCTCCGGCGCCGTAGTCGCTGTCCGATAACACTGAAGAGAAAGAAAGAAATTCACGTATCTTAGTATATATTGTGTGTAATTTAAGGACCGGACTGTATCTTTTCTAATGAGAATCTCTGTGACTGCTATTATGGGTGTACCGTGCATGACTGATATCTTTATATATTGAAGTTCGATTTCACTGTTGTTGAATGTGTGTGTGTGTGTGTGTGTGCGTGTGCGTGCAATTTGCCTAAGATTAAATCATCTCGTGTTTGGGCGACGCATTTTCTCGTATAAAAATGTAAATTTCAAGCGAACTTTAGTGTGAACAGATACTGCTTATTATAATTTAATTTTAAAAGAAACAGTATTAAAGAGCGCTCCATACTAGAGGCCAGAATGATGAGATTAATTCCATGCAAAAATGCTCTCTGTACAGTAGGAAAAACGCCATGAATTAGCCAGAGGGATAGCTGTGAATATGTAGTAAAAATCACTTCGACTCTCTCTCTCTCTCTCTCTTTCTCTCTCCTTTTTTGACATTTTAGGCAGAAATTACTTGAAAAGACGAGAGCAATTATCCCCAAGGGGCAATTGCAACACAGCAGCACAAAGATGGACAGCGCAATGTAGTTGGGCGGCTTGACGTGAGTTGTAACGAACACAGTGTTGGTTGTCGCAGGAGCGGGCTGGTTCACGATCACCTAATCGAAATAATGGCGAAAAAAGCTCATGAAATCCATACAAACCAATGCTAAAATGTAGATTTTCAGTAATTATTCTATCAAAATCGTGTAGGTGACAATCATACGTGTTTTAATAAATGTACTTTAAAGTCCTGATACATGTATCAAGGCGCCACCCCCCCCTCCCCCACCCCCTCCTCCTTTCACGCAACCACACAAAACTTTAGGTTAAGTTTCTGAACAGATGCGCTTAAAATCGTCTCGCCCCAAGGAATACCCCATTACACACCTGTGTTTGAGGTGCAGACGGTGCAGGATTGTATGCAGGCGGTCCTTGGTCGTACCCATAGTGTGGGTTCTGCTGTGGATAAGCCTCCGGGAACGTTCTCATGGGTTGTGCCATGTTGCCGAGCTGAAACAGAAAGACAGAGTGATACTATGATATGAGGACTGAAACGTCACTAAAATCAGAAGTGAATGTTAGTTAATTATTTTTTTATCAATATATATATTTTATTGTTTATTTATTTATTCATGTGCGTGCACGCGCGTGTGTAAGTGTAGTATCATAGATGTAAACACACTTGTAAACACTTTGATATTCTACCGGTAGATGTCGCACGGTCGCTATAATTGAGTTCGTCACAGAATAAAGATAAGAGAACAAAGGAAGAATTTGAACAATGTTATTTTCTTTACATCATGGCCGCTGCTTGTTTGAGGTAAACTTGTGACCTATTTCGACTGAAACCTCCTCGTATGTAATCTTAACCCTGCTCGACCTAAATACTGATTTTATGAAGATACGAATTAAAGATATAATAGGCGTACACTTCTACGTATGTTTTTATCAAAATACCGTAACTACGCAATATGGCTATCCTGGCTTTCACTTACGATAAAAAAAATCATACCAAATGATGTCAGATATAGGCTACTTCTTCCCTATGAAATTTTCACATACCGCATGCTATTGAAAGACTTCATTAGGATATTATCAAAATTATACGATACATTTTGATATCTTTGTGTCACACGTACGCTTCCTGGTCCTTAAAACAAACACCCCTTGATGCCAAAGTCCTCTCCATTAACTTTGGTCAACTGATATTTTTATTATCGGGAACAGATATGCGTACTTCACCGTTCAACTGCTGACAAGATATAGTCTTGTACGCCCCTCCCGCGCTGACAGAGCGACCTGTGTCTTTTTCTCAATGTTTCATGTTAAAAGCCTTTATTAAAGGTTTGTGTAAAGTGATACTTGTATTTACCTGGTTATATTTCGCCTTAGGCAGAGCGAATTTTCTTAAATTCCATTTATGAAGGATAGCGAAAAGATGGTAAGGCCAAACCCCTAAAAAACCTAAGTCGAGAGCCTTGGTAAAGCTCGTGGCGTGCGTTGGACGCTCTAGACAAGCAGAGGCAAGTCATAGTGAGTTTTACATCTTGGGCGTATTGTTTTCACATTCTGAACGAATGTCTGTCGATACTGATAAGAATTTAAAAAATTGTCTTAATCTCTGATTTTTGTACTTAGAAGGCAACACGTGCATTGTTGATATATTCCTTTTTTCTTACGACAAAAAAAATTTTGAAACAAAGTAATTATTATTTTGTTAAGCTGTACTGTTTTCACAGACTGAACTGTACTTAGAAATATGGCATTTCTGCCCTAAATTTACATCTGCCATGATCTCCACATTAATTTGACGACTACCTCGGCATCAAATCTTAGGACAATCAAAAATTTTAGTAAATCATTATACTGAAAAGTTGAGACTAAATGTCATCAATTGATTATGAATTGAAATGAAGACAAAGCTGCACCAAGTGGCAATGAAACCAGGCCCTTGGTTATCATTAATAGAGATATTTAAAGTGGTTTTAAAAAGTGCACTCAAGTGCATCACTATTTAATGTAGTTATTGTGATATTTTATTTTATCTGAATTCTCTGAATCATATCTGAATGTCAAGAGATGCTACTGGTCCGAATGGCTCAAATGGTACAGCGCTCGCCTACTGCATGGCGCCGTGGGTTCGATCCCCAGGAACTTACCTGCTGTCTCCTCGCTTCGCACAGCTATAGTTGGTCTTAAAAGCGAAAATGGTGAGAGTATGGAAGCAGAGTATGGAAATACACTAACCTTTACAAGGAGAAATATGGCCGCCTACATTTTTTTCTTTCGAGGGGATTTTTGATGTTTTTTATCAGCAAAATGGTATTTTGTACATTAAAACATATTCCGTTCTACGCTAATCACGTTCTTTATGCCTCGTACAAGGCAATATTTCGTCTACTTGGAGTCGGACTTCATCAGGCTGGTAAGACCAGACAAATATAGACAAAAGAATCTTCACAAGTCTATTACAATAACATAGCTAATGAAACTGTTCTACACAGGGGAGAGGTATTTTAATATTTTCTCGTATACCGGTAAATTAAGCTGTCCCCTTGACATTGTCTAAAAGCTATACATATCACTGGATCAATTTATTTCAAAGTTTCTACAAACCCCATAACTTAAGTTTTTCCCAAGACTGTGGACGAATCGGTTAATTCAAGGCATATAAAGCAGAATGCCTTGTAGGAATTTCCGTGGTTGTTTTACCAGAAAATGAAAAAAAAAAAGAAACGACGCTCTACCCTGTTTACAGCANATTTCTTGTAAACATCTGAATTGAGTATGGTAAATTTATTTTGAAAAATGCTTTTTAAAAAACATTTATTTTTAACATTTTTCTTAAACAATTGAAAAAGGTGGATGCTAATTTTTGGTAAGAAAATTTAAGCACAAATCTTATGTGAGTAGCTATCCAAAAATCTTGAAACAATTAAATGATGAGAAAAAAGGGGGTCTTCTCAAGTTGGGTTATAATTGTAAAGGGGAGCAAAATGATTTAAGTACACATGCACTGATTAAGCAGACGGTTATCCTGGTTTTTGTCCTGTTAGACTTTTTTCTCTTTTTGTCATTGTACCAGTGTTAGACTTTTTTCTCTGTCTGTCATTGTACTACACTAGATGATGTATTACGTGTGGAATTCAATGCAGAGATGTAATTGTTCAGCCTGGCTTTGTAATTTGTCTCAAAGGAAACGTTATAGCGTGGCAACTTAATTTTCATGTTCTTCATTGAATTTTATACAGTTTATATGTTTGGGCTTACACCCACTTGTTTATCGTGCATGGCGCTTACCGAAGCATGCATGCATATGTGTGCAGGTGTGCAGGTGCACACACACACACACACACACAAACACACACACACACACACACACACAGGTGGAAAAAGATTTTTTTTAGTACATGACAAGCAAACATTGTATTGTGGGAACTCTAAAAGAATATGGCTGAGTGTGTTTTATTTAGAAATCACCTGCTGGGGCTGTACTTTTATAAGCCAGTCAGTAGAAGCGGGATAAGGAATTCGCTGACACCCACCTGTGTTGTAAACAGCAGGTGAACGCAAATATTCTGAACTCTCCACTCTGATTGGTTGTTTTACCACACAGTAACTTGAGATTTCAAGTCATTTCAAGGTACAGTGTGATGCTTGGCAGTTGGAATTTTTTATTCTCACTGGACTTTTGCATAGATGCTTTCCTGATTACTGGGAGACAAGCAGGTAAAATATTGTTTTGATTCTAGATTTTTTCATAATTTTGTTGTGGAGTTTTGGTTGAATAATGGCAGTCAGACAGATGGAGAGAGAGAGAGAGAGAGAGAGAGAGAGAGAGAGGGAGAGAGAGAGAGGGAGGGAGGGAGGGGTAGAATCTTTGATAGTGCCCACAGTAGAAGCTGATTCACAAATGCTCTGACACCTGTGCTCTTTTTGGCAGGTGATCAAAGTGCTCTGAACTCTTGGTCATGACTGGTTGTGAATGGTTGTTTTATCACACATTAATGAATTTCTTTTAAGGTTTATGTTTTAAACAAAAATATTTTGTTTTCTGTCAAAAAAAGTGTTTTGAACGGATAGTGACCTGATGATGTATTTAATTTTACACAAAATCCTAATATTTTATCATTAGGCAGATTATAATTTTGCTAGCCTTCATATTAAATTGTGCAATATTTCATGATATTTAGTGCAAAATTTAATAAAAGAAAAAATGCCACATTTCTATTATTTTGGACTCTGTCAAATGCTAGGATAATAAATCCAAGCTCTAGAAAACTTGTCCTCAGAAGACCTTTCTGTTCAGTAAGAGTGTAAAGTTAAGAATTAGAAAATATCTCAAATATGTTTCTCTACTCTTTCACAGCTCTCTTTGAAATGTTTTAACTGGTTATATTACATTTGAACATGCAGGACAGTATTGTGTGGTTTCAAGAAACACAGACACACACACACACACACACACACACACACACACGTGCTCTATTTACCACCTGTGTTAAGAGTAAAAATAAAAAGGGAGGTTTCTGTTGGGAATCTTTTTAATTGACGCATGCATTGCCAACTCTTGACTCCTGTCATAATGTGAATGGAACTTGTTTTGAAAAATATATTTTTTTGTACTTAGTCAGAGTTGCATATATTAAGCTAGTAGAGGGCTAAATTGATTAAGGCAGCCATGTTGATATGCTTTTGTTCAAGGATTCTTTTAAAAAATTGTCCTTGTGCGACCCTGTATTTGAGTTCCGCTGTACTTCTACAGAGTTGCGAGTATGGCATGCTTTTCAATTCAGAAATACTTTTGATATTCCACTCATGGCTTTTTGGAGTGGAGTGAAGTGATTGTTGTGACAAAGGCCTGTAAGTCAGTAAAGACTTATTATGAATTGCCCTTTTTTTATGGTGAAATGTCAAGGTCATTGAAAAGGGCAATGAGAACACAAGCTACGAACAAGTCAGAGAGTTCATGTAAACAGTGCTCCCGTTGGGTAATAATTATCTATTGAATCTTGATTGGGAATTTGTGGGGGTCTTTTTTTTTTCTCCCATGATTACAGGCAAATATGTCATCAGAGGTAACTGAGTGCATTTTGAATAGTTTGAGAATTGATTTTCTATTTTTAAAATGGCAAAGCCTGAGAGTGAAACGTTGAAATAAAATGAGGCTGCCAAGAATATTGAGTGCTCGTACAAGTACATGTAGTAATAGCAATTACCATTGTCCAGTTTTTATTTAAAAAAAAAGAAGACGTCATATTGGGCAGAAGCTAATTGGTGGGTTTATAAGATCATGGGAAATGGACCCAAGCTAGTCAGACACACCATTGCGTATAGTTATTGCATTATCTGGTCACCACCCAGTTTTCCACTTATAATAGTAACCGGAGCTCTTCAAAATAAGCCGCTGTTTGTTTTGTATGACTGGTGCGAGGCCCCTCAGCGAGGAGCCGTCATAGAAGAAAGGGCGTATGAAATGGAGAGGGCCCTTTTCTTTAACCTGTTGCCAAGGAAACTAAATTTAATCTGTGGCATAAAAAGGGTTTATTATTCTAAGGGAAGGCCTGGTGTATTTTTCATATTTGGTGATTTAGAAGAGATTTCTGTCAGACAGAAATAGGAAGGAAACTTCCGCTTGCGGTAAAGCTGGTCTTACACAAGCATGCTCTACATGTCTGTGTAGATATTACCATTTTCTGAAAAAAATTACTTTGATGGAACAGAAAAATTAAATATTTGATCTTTTCTTGCTAACATATATTGGTGCTTTTTGACTCAAAAGCTTTGCTTGACTAAAAGTTTAAGCAATTTGGCTGAAAATTTTTTTCCACAATTGCCGTTTCCTCAAACTTTAAGTCTTAGACTAATAAAAAAACAACCTCTGCAATGAGATTCATGCTTGTGTTAGCCCAATTAAATAGAAATCACTCGATTCTGTCTAACTCAGTCTTCCAGCAAGAAAAAAAAAAAAGAAGTTTAATTTCAAGTTGGGTAATTATACTACCAAACAAGCAGAGTTCTCCGATGTAAGCATTAACTAAAACAAACACACTGCACAGTGGAAAGGGTGTGTACATTATTACTGTGTTGCCTGACTAGCTCACCACACTGAACCTGGTGAAAGTTTACCCATGTGTATCCAATATACCACAGCAGACGAGGGCTCCGTTCAAAAAGGGGTTTGTCAAAAACCTTGTATGACTAAAGATTCTTTCAAGAAAGTAGATGCTTGTCTGCATCACTCCCCTTTGCCTCTCCAGGCCTACCTAACTACCAGACTCGTCACCGAATGATCCTGAAGTCACTGGTAGATCGTACCACACTATCTGTTTTCAAGGTGTGCATCGGTGTCGCTTCTGATACTGCGAAGCGCGTACTAATACACACCTTGAAAACGGGTAGCGTGGTCGGATCTACCGGTGAACTCGGGACCATTCGGTGCCGAGTCTGGTAGTTGGGTAGGCCTGTTCTCTTTCTATTCTTCTCAACCCCCCATCCAATCTATATTTGAAAGGAAGCTCTGCTGTTCTATTCCCCCCCCCCCCCNGCTGTTGTCAGTGCAAGCCTCTAGTTCTGAAGTATGGTTAGTGTATGCATTATATAAGACGGCATTGAATGCAGTCCAAGCAGTGCCTTGGTGAGTGTATGGGTGTATTCCCAGACATTTAGATCGATCTATCCCCGTGGGGAGTCTCACTAGATAATCCTGCTTAAATGTCCGTTCCGCCTACTACAAGCTGTAAGAGGGTAATTAACTTTCGTGCCCACTCGGCTGACAGCTATTTAGCGTGAACCCCCAGGGAGTTAGGTCGATCTAGTTTGGATCGATCTACTCTCTGGGAATGGGGTCTATGGTGTACATGAGCCATTTATAAGTAATGGTAAAGAGAAGTTTGGAAAAAGATTGAGAAAAAGTGAAGTAATAAGGTCATGACAGCTGTAGAGAGCTCGAGGGAGAGGGATGAAAGATGGAGGAGCTGGGGTGGGGGTGGGGGTGGGGGAAGGGGGTGAGTAGGTAGGTCCAACCAGGATGTATAACTATAGGTAAGGAGAAGTAGATGTCTTCAGTTTGTTGAAAACAGGTGGATTTGTGACACATTTCAGGAAGGCTAATCAGGCAAGTGTTGTTGTTTCTAAACTAAAAGATATAGGAATTAAGGAAATATTTGTCTTTTTTTTTTTTTTTGGGGGGGGGGGGGACTCACACAAGGTTTCAGAGCCTGCTAATTTATAAGTTTGTTGCACATGGCTTTCATGTTGGGTGATATTTTGTAAGGAGGTGTAAGTTAGGAGAAGACAGCTGTGCAAAAACTGCTGAGCAAATGTGAGGAACTCTACAAGGAGTTGTTGACTTAATGTTTTCAGCTGAGCTGCAGGTTTTATTTCCTTCAAAGTAATATGCTAGGAGAGGGGGATAGGTTTTATGTATATTAAGTTTCAGGTTGTTTTTAAGGATATTGGAAAGACACAGCCAGGTGATAGATTTGTTGTGCAGGATTTGATGAAATTTGGTAACAAAGTAGTGATAGTCGTGTGTTTTAATGCTGTGTTTTGGAAAAAATATTTACTAGTAAAGGGGAAAAAAGCTATTGGTTTAAGAATAAGAAAAATGTAAGGAGAAAACTGAAAAATTTTATAAACATGCAAGCACAGGCAAGTGCATGCATGCACACACACACACACACACACACACACACACACACACACACACACCAAAGAAATGGAGTGACTCCAAAACAGATAATAAAGTTGATTTCAAATGTTGGCTTAATTAGGAGTTCTGCTTATATATATGTGTTTTGTAAAGTAAATAATTGTCTTTCACAATTCATATTATCTTTGGGCAGAGGGTTATAGGTTTCCTTCAATATAAGAAGGCAAGTAATTAAAATGTTTTACAGAATATTTCAGAATGTCTCACTGTACCACTTCTAAACTTCAGCTGTCTCCTTGGGACTGGCAGCAGTGTGTGCAACAGTAACAGCTCACTAGGAGGAGCCAGTGAGGAGTTTGTCAGCGTCTTCACAACAGAAGGTCCTTTCATTAGTCATGTGGAGGTTTTGGTGCTGTCGTCCCCAGTGTATGTAGGTCATGTGGTACCATTGGAGGTCAGGGTTCAACTTGGAGGGCTGCCTGAAACAGGCGAAGGTGAGTTTGGTGTGTGTGTGTATGTGCGTGTGCGTGTGCGTGTGTGCTATGCTTATAGTTATGAATGTGAGAATCACATTTTAAAAAGTTTTCTGAAAAGGCTGTATTTTTTTGGGGGGGGGTGGGGTTAAAAACATGATGTCTTAACCTCTGCCCTTTCTTTTTTAGTTGTTGTTGGTATTCTTTTTCAAAAAGATACTGAAATATGAAATATTGATAATGAATTTGAACCATATTATGAAAGACAGTTTTTTGAAGCTGCCCAGAAAATTTAGTTTTGCTAAAAAGCAAAATTAATTTTGTTGATACATCGCAAAGCTTTTCACAAATTGAGGAGGGAGGAAAAAGATATGGCTTGACTTCTACTGAATTCAAAATGTCCATTGTGTGCCCATGTCACTCAGCATGAAAGCAATTATTTTTGTTTTTTATGTAGCAATTAAAAGTTTTGGGTCGGTCCAGGGGGTATAAAAATGTGAAGGCTACGTATGAATGAGAACCCTTGTATGATTGTTTATTGCTTAATTACATCTTTATGTGTGGAATTCTGTACGGAGTCTAAACTCGAAAGTGTGAAATAATTGTTTAAGCTGTTATAAACTAAATAAATGATCAGAGTTTTTTTTTTTTACTAGTTTTGGACTTTGGAACAAGTATCTTGTGAAATTCATTTCCTTTTAAAGAAAAAAAAAATTATGTTCAGAAATGCCTTGTAGGTGAGGCATAGGATTTTGAACATGACTTTCCCATTGAATATGTACTGTGATGTAGTTCATGATTCAAGGAGGGATGCCTTCATTCTCTTGTATTCATTCATTCATTCATTCATTCATTCATTCATTCATTCATTCATTTATTCATTCATTCATTCATTCATTCATTCATTCATTCATAGTTTGCTGCTCGTAAAATGTGGTAAAAAATTGAAATACATAAATACATGTAAATACAGAGACACAGTTAACTGATCATCTAACACATGTGGTAGTCCATTTTGTTTTGATCAAATATAGCCCAACTCAGTGCACAATGTCTGTATTTCCTATTGTTCAGAAATGCCCACGTCACTGCCCTTCTTACTGAAGAGTAACCTAAAATGGTTCTAACACATGTTGCACATTTTTTTTTTTATTTTTGCTGAAGGAGGTTACTAATATCTTTGTTGCATATTTTGATGTATGTGGCATTTATTATTTACTGGACATTGATAGCTGATTATTAAAGATCTATGTGTCATCTGCCCTGTTTTAATGAACAGAGGAGGCAGAAAAACTTGTCCGGCAAACCTTGGAGGGAGAGAATGCTAAGGGCGGGGGTCAAGTATAATGGGGGCATATATCTCTGTTATGGTCATGGCTGTCATGTTTGGGGTGGTTGCCTTGTGAGCATGTTCACATCGGGTCTAACTTGAATCAGAAACAGACTAAGGGGCTCATTCCCAACGAAACTATTGTTCTACTTAGATCGATCTAACTCCGCAGTGACTCTTGCTAAATGCGATCAGATCAATAGATTAACACACCAATTCTTGGTGTAATGTTGTTGCATAATCATTAGCTTTTCTGTATTCTACCCAATGCCAGCAGGAAGCTGGAATCTGTTAATCTGATTGTATTTAGCGAGAGTCCCTGTGGAGTTGGATCGATCTACGTAGCATGATAATTTTATTGGGAATGAGCCCTAATTAATGTCATGGTTGTTGAAACCATGCAAAAGTGGAGGCTCCTTTTCTGTACCCTTCTTTGTTGGACCTTAGCATTTTAAACCTTGTTCCGAAAGTTAAATTGTTTCTGCATGTGAACTTGATTTTGACATTAGTTTCAGTGAGCTTTGCAAGTCGGAAGCAGTGGACATATAGATTATAGTAATGTAGCTGCTATTAGTTGGGAGAGATTTGGGTGATTTTTTTGGTCTACGTGCCCTTTGTTTCTTATGGCCGAGGGTGTACAACAAGTCACAATAAAGTGCAGAAACTTTCAGAAACAAGTCCCAGGCTATTGTGAAGATTATTTCCTGCAAATTGCTGTAAGTGGAAAACAGGTATTCATAGTTCAAGACATTGTTCAAACAGTTAAATACTTCTTTTCCATATAGAACTTTTCACTGTGAAAATGGAGTTTTAAGTGCTGCAGAGAGTGGGTGGGCAGATTTTTCAGCAGACATTTGTAGCCATTTAGGGTTATTCCACAATGTTTTTTACAAAGCGCTTTTTGTGCCTTAATGTTCTATTGTAACTTCTTATCCCATGTGGATCACAATATGCACAGGACCTTAACTCTTTTGGTGGGAACAGAAGTGGTAAAATTGGATGTTTTCCTCTCTTTCTGTTGAAACCCACCTGGATGATTACCTGAGTTGTTTTTTTTTTTTTTTGAAACTGCTTAGCAGCACCTAGATTTAGGAGTCAGTTTTTGTGTTCAGGTCAACTTGAAATCATCACGACTTTTGCTGTGCACTAAATGATCTATTTTAGTTATTAAATGTCAGCATTTGTGTTGTATATTGCATCATTTGAGGAGCTGGTGTTACTTTAGAATACAGGATATATTTATGAGCACATATGCTACATTTAAACAGATTTCATTCATGTTTTTAGAATTTTCCTCTTTACTTTTACAAAAAAAAAAAAAAAAAAAAAATG